CTCAATTTTCCTTTCCCCAATTGCTTAAAATATGTAACTAATTTCGGTTTGTTCAAAACAAAAAGAAATCCCAGCACACTGCACCCGGTTCAGCGTCTGTGGACACCATGGACGCACCCAGCCTACGGTAATTATGGCCCGGAACATCATATATGAAAAGTATGCACTCACTCGCGTACTCTGCTTTTTTGAAAAAAGCAAAGACCTGCACCATTTGGGTTGGTGGAACCGGATAGGAACAAAAACACCCCACGAAGAATGCATTTTCACCCACGCTTTTTTCCCGTACCCACTTTTTCTTCTCCCAATCCATTCTGTAAACAAAAAGAAAGCTACCATAGGGAAAACTGGACGCAACTGTTAACAAATCACCCTCCATCTCCACCAAGTAATAGCAGGTATAGGGGACGGAGGACGGACCCCAACTCGACGAGACGCACATTCAATCACACTGCTTTCTGGCGAATAACCCAGATGAGTCCCTTTGAATCCATGGTGTAAAAGTCATCCTTGTAGAATATTGCGTCAGAACACCGGCTGTCGAAGTTGTGAATTCCTCTGTTCCATGCACGATCCCCTGTTTTGCACAGGGAAAACCTATGTCCGGATTTATAAGGATGGTTGGCTAGGAAAGTGCAGTAAGGATCGACCGGACCGTGCTGAATTCTGGATTTCCTGATGATTCAGGAGTCCTGAATTGTTTATCCCATGGCAGCTTGACTCTGATTCTGGTGAAAGGATTGAGAAGATAAATTGCAGAGAGAAGGAATGGCTGATGTCGGTGCTGGAGAACAGGAAAAGGAACAAAAATGGCAGAGAGGGATGGGGGTTGAAGATAAGGGAAAGGTCAAATCATCATTTTTTTTCCACGTAGTTTTTTTGAAATAAAAGGATTAATTCGTGGTAAGTTAACGTGCCACTTGAGCACTTCCGTGACGGAAGGACCATTTGGGTTCCAAATAAATAAAGTTAAAGGACAACTTGAGTGCTTTCATTTGTTAAAGGACGAACAAAGTTTTCAAATGAAAGTTTAAGGACCAAATTGGGTATTAAACCTAAATTTAATTTATTTATTTAATAATATATAAAAATTATATTAAAATATTATATAAAAAGATTATTTCTATATCATTCTTATAATATAATTAGTAGAAAAATTAAATTACAATATTCATATAAAAAAGTACTAACATTTAATTCATATTATACTAACTACACATAACACATTTCATAATTATTAAATAAGGGGTGAGGTCTATACATATTGATGGTTTTTCTTTCCTTCATAAGATTTGGGTCTTATATTGTGATTTGAATTATTTTAAAAGTTAAATCTTCATTTTTGTTCCTTTAGTTTGATAAAAATCTTATTTTTAGTCATTCTACTTTAAAAAGTTCATTTTGAGCCCCTAAAGTTTGAAATCTTATCTTTTTTAGTTTTTTTGTTAAATTTCACATATATGATGCATTAACTAATAGAAATTTCAAAGTAGAGAGGCTAAAAATAACCCCAATTTGGTCCATCAACTTAAAAATAAAAAAATAAAAAATAAAAAAAATAAAAAACAGCTCTTTTTCAATTCATCTTTTTTGAACTTTTTATTATTTAATGTCAAAATTTAACAAATAGACTAAAAATAAGTTAGATTTTAAACTTTCAGACCAATAAAGGTTACTTTTAAGTAGAGAGAATAAAAAGAAATTTTTTACCAAAATAAAAGAACTAAATTAGAGTTTTAACTTATTTTAAATTATAATAAAAATTATTAAATAAAAATAATTCATATTAAAAAAGACTCGCCCTTTTATCAAACTATGTTTATTGTACAGTTTTTAGACAACAAAACCTGGTGTTAAGCTCTTGGATATTTCTCGTTTGCTCACATAAGCCCACCTAAAGAAAAAAAATGGAATGAAAGCCCCTAAATGTTCCAATCTTAACAAATTAGCCCTAATATTAAGGGCAACAGTCATTGCTATCACATGATAATCTTATGTCACATCAACACTTAGGTATAAACAGAATATGCCACAAAAGAAAAAAAAAATGAAGATTACTATTTAACTCATGTGAGAACCCGTGATTGTTGCTGTTAACATAGGGTCAATTTGTTAAAACCGGAATATTAAAGGGATTGTTTGTGACTTTTGCACTTTGAGGGCTTATGTGAGAAAACAAGAAAAGTCTAGGAGCTTAATACTTTTTTAGGCCAAC